AAATATGCTTTGTATAACTCCTCACAATTTTCATAAAATAGTGGGTTATCAGTGGTTCCATGTCTGTCTTCCCCACTAGAAGGCGCACTTCTGAGAGGGCAAGGAACGTACCAGGTGCTCCGAACTATCTGTGCATTCACTGAAGGAGATGGGGCGGAGCCGGGGGTGGGGCACAGAGAGAGTTCTTCTATAGGCAGCTTATTTTTAGGAAACATCTGGCTGAGTCCAGTGAGCCCTGGAACCGGCTCCTCCCGTGTCTGGGAGCATCTCTGCTGAATTCCACAATCAGTGACCCCAAGTTGGTAGCTTACAATTAGTCAAGGTGGGAGTCTGCAAATTCTATTTGAGGACTTCTTCTGAGGGGTATGGGGAGCTGGCTATTTGCCAGCACACCATGGACCGGTGTGAGGGATACAGGGAGGGTTCAGACCCCCACGAGAGGAGATGAGGTCATCCCACTTTATCATATGCACACACAGTTCCGTCACTCTGAGGTTAAAGAGCAATCGATATGCCATTTAGATGAGCAATATGTTATCATGATGTGCTCTTGATAATACCAGAGACAATGACAGACCCTCTGGAATTATGCACGTAGCTATTGGGGCAGGGATTTATTACACTCGGGTTGTGACTGTTCAACTCACCTCCATAAAGGCACGTCCCCAATTGGACAGACAGGTGTTCTAGAACAAGATCGCTGCACGGCAAATTCTAGGTACTTTTCTGGTTTTTGCTATTAACGCTTTTTAGTTTCTCATGTAGGACTTGACCCCAAAGATGACACAGAAGGTGGTGCTCGCTCTCAGCACCCATCTGCTGCTCATGAACAACCCATCTACTTCCCAAAGCACACAGGACTCAGCTTTTGTGGCGCAGCCAAGCGAGGCAAACTACCAGAAAGGGAGGGAGAAGGGAAAACCCTGTCGGCCCTGCTCCAGTCAGTCTTCTTAAACACTCTCAGACCATCCTTCATTCTGGAGGCTCTTCTCCTCCTCATCTTTTATGGACTCTAAAACAGCAAGGAGAAAATTCTTCTTTATAACACTTGGATTATAGCTCCTTTTCTTTAAGATAGCAGGTAGGTTTTAGACCTTTGGTTAAAATATGTTAAGTGGAAGCAAAAATCAATACGATTGCCCCCATGCTGGCTTGTGGAGCCAGCCGCGTCCCTGGACACCTGCTTTGCCTCTCACGGCAGCGTGGGCATGGCTCACCCCAGTTAGGCGTCACTGTTGCTGTTGGCGGGTCTCTAGAAGTCCATCGAAAAATACTACCTCTGGTCACCGAAGACTCACCAGACCTCTGCGGAGTATATCAACTCCGTTACCACTTTACTGACCTATGAAACACAGACTAATAATGCAAGTAATCGATGTGAGCGAGGGTTAGGAGCCGTTCCTATCTCCGCTCTTGGATTTCACGGTGTTCCCATGTTTCTGGACCTGTTCACATTTTGTTCCAGCCAAATCCCTCCTATCAGGGAAGAGGCTGGAGAGCCTCAGGGGTGGACATACTGAGGGCAGGAAGGTATCCGGGCTGGGGTGGCAGGGAGAGGAGCCCCTGAAGTGGTAGAGGATAGAGGAAGGGAGCCTGAAGGGGGTCTCCGGCTGCTACTTTTAGTCAATGGCAGCTTTTAGTGTGGAAATGGGGGGCACAGACAGGGGGCAGGATGCCTGGTGTCCACGCTGTCCACTCAGAAGAGAAAGGGTGCAATTACCTGTGGGCTGCACAAATGACTACAGCTGGAACCAGACTTAAAGGATGGGGCAGGTTCCTGAACTGAGAAGGATTTGCTAAATACCCTCTGCTCAGCCCTGAGAGAAGCTATTTTCTCTTGGCTGGGTGTGGTCAGCTCTGAACGTGCGTTGCCACGTAACCAGAGGCAGGGAAAGCTGCACTGGTATGGAGCAGGCAGCTCCAAGAAAGCGAAAAGCTGTACAGTGTCCTGGAAGGGACAGGATACAGAAACTAAGATGACCCAGGTTCCAGAACTTTCTGCCACTGAGTAGCTTGTAACTTGGGCAAAGTACACACGCCTCTCTGGGCTTCATTTATCACCTCTACAGTGGAAATAACATGTGCCCAATTTCATGGAGGATAAAGTTGAAATCGGACAAAGCTCAAGAATAAGTTTTATAAGCTATAAAGCACTGCCTGACTACAGAGTCTGCTACTCGTACTCTTTGGAGGAAAACATCTTATGAAAAACTGATTACACTAACAGCTAATTTCAGAAAGGAAAGCAAGAGGCAGGAAAACAGAAACTCATGAAGACCCAAAATACAACCAACCAACAGGCATTCTGTTCTTCCGGCCCAGACATAGATGCCACTTCCTAAGAAAAACTGAAATGCTGACTTGTTTTTGCTCAGCACGACGCACCTTTATTGGGTCTCGAGTTAGCTGCCATGCAGACCAAACAACCCACTGGGCAAATGCCACCCCCTGGTAAGAGGTGAGCAGGAAGTGCTGGTGAAGTTCGCAGGGACAGCGAAGTGAGGCCTCCCCGCACCCGACTAAGCGGAGCCCCCAGGCCGCGCACCCTGGGCCCTGCTGCTCGGTGGTTTCCCCAGCTCCAGTCAGGACAGAAGTCAGGCTCCGGTAGGGGCCCTGGATAAAACCTGCAGAGATGCACAGAGGCTACTTGGAAAACGTACTGTTGGAAACAGCTCCTTTTGGGCCTTGGGCGGGTATTCGGAGGACATCTGCAGGCCAGACCAGGACTGGGGAAGAAGTGAGCTGGAGGTGGCCAGTGCTGTCAGGGAGGGGTAGCTGCAGCTGGCCCTGGGGGGGGGGGGGCGGCGCAGAAGGGTGAGTGTAGGGGGTGCAGAGGGGTGAGGGTGGGAGGAAGGCAGGGACCAGAGGACAGGAGTGCTGTCTGGCTCTGCCCATGAACAAGAAAAGGCAGAGTCTTGGTTCACACGGACCCAGTGCCAACAGGGGGACAGTCTGCAGTGGGCTCCGGGCGGGGGAGGCATTCCCACCCTGGGCCCTGGCACTGACGTGGCCTTTTCTCCCCACCTCTGCAGAAAAGTGAGTATGTCTGAGCACTGGGAGGCACAGGGACGACGCTACCCAGGGAAGAAGAGGAATACTGAGGGAAAACTAAGAGAACATCCGGATGGAGGAGGGGAAAACGTGCTCCCTCCTCCTCCTCATCCCAGGAAGGAGTGGGGGGCAGGTGGAGAAACTGGCTGCACCTCCCACCCCCTTCCACCTCCTACTCTCAATTTATTTTTCACTTCATTTCACGTGATAAGAACATAATGTCATTTTTCTGTTAGTCATCCCATTAGCAAACACAGCAAACGCAGCTGCCAGTTCACAAAACTGCTTTTCTGGGGGTCAGTGGGCCACATGGGCTCCAGCCCCATGCCTCACACTTGTCCCCCAGCCAGCCGTCTCCATGGGAACGCCCAGGGCTTCCAGGCTCAGGGGGCCTTGGGAAGGAGGGGCCTGCCTTCCAGAGGGGCTAGGTCCTGCCCTTTAACCGTGTGTCCCTGCTCAACAGGGCCAATCCCCCAAGGCTGTCATGGGGGTCTGGTGAGAGTGGGGCGCTAGCAGGGTGCCCCCTGTTCAACAGCTCCGATTCCTCCAGCATCTACTATGTGACAGGCTCTGTCCTCAGAGCTGGGGGTACACTGGGAAGTCTGCCCCAGGCCAGCCAGCAGAGAAGGGCCATTAAAAGGCGCTGCTGGGTAACTGAGGACAGTGGCTGGGGAGGGGGGTTAAAGAGCACACAGGCTCTGCAGTCCCGCTGCTCAGTGGCACACTGGCTGTGTTATTCTAAGCAAGTTACTTAACCTCTCTGCAGTTCAATTTTCTCAACTCAGCAGGGACAGAACCACACCTACCTGATCGTGTTGTGAAGACTAAAGAAGGGAGTTTTAAGTAACTTCACACAACATTCAGCCGCAGGTTAAGTCACGTATTGGGCTTTAACGGATAATGATAATCGGAACAATAAGGAATGTGGGAAGCATCATGGCAGGACAGCACAGGGTGGGACAGAAAGGCTTAACAGAAACACCTACTCCAGTCTGAAGGTGGGAGAAGAGGCTAGGGGGTCAGGGGCAGTTTCTTGGAGAGGACATCTGAGCTTGGACCTAGAGAAGAACTTCTATGAAGTTAACCCTTTATTTAATCTGCTACGTGGCTAGACAGGTAAGACTCCATGCTGACTCATCGAGCCCACACCTCGAACTCCTGCGCAATAGCCTCCCTCCCTCCTGGCTGCTACACTGCAGGAACCTCAGAGAACCAGGCCACTGTGAGCAAAGACAACAACTCTGGGGAGCCCTTGGCGGCAGCAGCCGGGATGGAGGTTCCAGAAGCAGGACCGCAGGCCCGAGCTCCTGCCACGTGGGGCGGGCAGGGTTCCTGGGAGCACCCCACCTCCACCCCACTCACAGCCACTGACAAGTCAAGAGGCTCCTTCATACACCCTAGTGATATGCTAATTCCACGAGTCCTTCACTGGGGCAACTGCAGTTATAGCCAAAACACTGGTTCCATCTTAGTGTTTTCAACACTGTTCAAGAGACAAGTGTGCCACCCTGTTCCCAAAATAAAATGGCCCAAAACCCACCCACAACTGCTTTCTACAATTTTTCTAATAAGTCCTGTTTGTAATTAGTAAAGACTAGGGAGTGGCTCCTGTAATTAGGCCAAGCATCGGTTCTGACACTTATGTTCTCCGGAATGTTCCTTCGATGGACTATAAAATCTCCTATCGATATTGGAATTACTGAACTGAACTACGATCACAACCGGAGCCTTCAAGCAGAGCGGAGTTAACAAGCTGCCCAGACAAAAGAGAGATTTTTATATACTTGAAGGCATCTGTGATTACTCCAGGGCTTTTCCAATTCAAAGACTCAGTGGTAAATTTTGATTGCTAAACCTAAAGGCAGATCACTAAATAACTCATACAGTCTCTTCACATTTTTCAAGTGAGTGAAGCTTCCATTTTCATGTCACATTGACTGCAGACTTACCAAGGTCGATAAGAATCGCATGCTGTTGGGAGGTGAGCCGTTTTAAGAGTTCTTTGTACGGCGTGTCCTTTGGTCGCTGTTTGCTGGGAAACTGGTGTTGAAGGCGGTATTGCTCTGCTAGGAATTTCCAGATTTCCCCCCGGAGATGACGTGGCACACCTTGGGGGCGGGGGAGGGGAATGCGGGCAGAAAACAGATTTTATGCTCAGAGTACGACCTAATAATGAAGAGGAGTTCGGTTTCATTCCACTGACCCAACCTCTTGTTCCATACGGATTAACAGCATCAAAATGGAAAGGAAACAAACAAAACTCTATTCTATCTGCTCCCCTTCCTGCCTCCCTCCACAGCCCCATCCTTCCCCCACCTCCCCGGCCCCTCACTCTCCCTTCAGCTCTCAAATACATACTTTGTTCGGACTGGGCTAGACCCAGCAAGGGATGAACTGGTGAATGACACGAGCCCCTATCTAGGGCCAATTCGTAATGTTCTAGGCACATAAAATTACAATGCACAACGTCGTCTCCTACAAGGGACGTGAGCCGAGTGAGGGGGTTCAGATGAAGGAGAGCAAGAGGTCGTGCAATCCTTCACTTGTGTCAAGATGTCAGAGTGTGGGAGGAAGAGAGAAGACGAGTCAGAGGAAAGAACTAGAAGCCTGGTGCGCACTGCGCACGTGTGGAGGAGGCAGGTGGCAGTCAGGCTGGAAGGGTTTTATTAAGAGGCGACATGAAGGATAAACAACCTGCACTTTATTTAGCAGCCGTGGGGAGCTACGGAATGTTATTGAGCTGGGGCGGGAGCAGCCTAATCGGGGAATGCTGCTTAGACACCGCGTGCCAGGTGGGCGGAGAAAGGGAGGAAAAGCTGGACACCGTCCACATAAATGTGCCTCGGGGAGCATTCAACCGGTACCTGAAAACAAGAAAAGCTATCCGAGAGCCTCTCCTCCATGTTTTAAACACAAGTGATTTGAATACTCAAAGTGATTAAAAATGTCACCTGAAACTATGAAAAGTTCTCTTAAAGCCGATGATGCTATTTAAGGCAAACTTTAGTAGCAAGAGTGACGGTTTTGATTCACAATTTTTGGTTCACCATTCTGCTGTTGTTACAAGGCCCAGATGTGGAAATGGGGGAGAAGGGAGCCTGCAGAATAAGACACCAAATCTTTCTCATCTCTCACAGGAGCTCTCTTGAGAGAAAAGGAAGCTGCGATTTAGGGACAAACTGTGACTGCTTTGTACACTTCCCGGCTACTCAGAGCGCCTGCCCAGGGAGACCATGTTCCTGGCTTTCCACTGGCCATGTCTGAGGGAAGTTTCAGCAGCAGGTGACATTTACCATGAGGTCACCAGGCGCTGCCACCATTCTAAGCACTCTGTCATTGCCGAGGGAAACAAGATGATGATCCTCATGGTAAAGACGAGGAAACTGAGGCCAACAAGCACAGATCCCTCACCCGAGATCACCCAGCAGCTGGTTCGGAGCAGAGCAGAGAACGAGCCTGGTGTTTCCCTCTTCACGTCTTCCCTGTCACAACAGTCAGACAAGCTGCTCCTCAGAAGGGTACTGGAAAAATGTATGTTGTGTTCCTGCCTGGCAGTCAGTAATAAAATCATCATCTGTGGCTCTGAACCAGAGAACACTCAAGGTCATTTATTACCAGATCCACAAAGAACTATTTAGAGCAATCACTCAGCCATCTCTTAGAAATACTGTAGGTGGGGCGGCTGGGTGGCTCAGCCAGCCAGGCATCTGACTCTTGATTTCAGCTCAGGTCTTGATCTTGCGGTCATCGAGTTCAAGCCTACACTGGGCTCCATGCCCAGCATGGAAAAAAATATTATACTTGGGGGGAAAAAAAAAACAACTTATGAAATAAATAAATAAATACTCTAGGTATGGTAAGTAATTTGATTTTTCCCTTACACATACCAGTTGTAAAAGAATAAAAAAGGTGAGCCTGTGGGAGATACCCAGGACCACACTTAACTGTGACCACACCCACACCTTCTCTAAATGCTGGTCTCACAGCATTCATCTCATGACCTTGTGTAGTCCCCAAAAAACATATGTCCTCATCCTAACCCCCGGAACCAGTGGACATGATTTGGAAAAAGAGTTTTTATGGACTACAATGAAGGTCCTGAACTGAGATCATCATCCGGACTATGCAGGCGGGTCCCCTAGCCAAGGACATGGGTCTTGATAAGAGACGCAGGGGAGCAGGCAAGAGGGGCAGGCAGTGTGACCAGGAGGCAGAGACCCCAGTGCCACAGCCCCAAGTCTAGAAATGCCAGCAGCCTCCACAGTGGCCAAGTGCAGCCCGGCCGACACCTCCACTCCAGACTTCTGGCCTCCAGGAGTTCGAGAGAAAAAAGTTCTGTTGTTTTAGCCACTAACTTTGTAATCATTTGTTATGGTAGCAACAGGAAACTAATACACCCTGACGTCTGCCTTTGTATATTATTCCACTCCTCTCTCTGCTGTCCCTGCTCAGAGAATACCTTATGGTGTGAGTACACATGCACACGCATGCGCAAGCCCTCAACATTTCAAACTATATCAGAAGTAAATTTGGCTTGAAAGACAGTCAACATGTTAAGTGATTTATAGTGGGGCTTTTCACAGAGTATTTTTTTCAGCCTGGGAAATTTTCCCAAAGTATGAGATGACCAATTTCCTCTTGTTACTAAATCATTCCCATTATCTTATCAGACCTTTATTTTTTGGAGGAAAAGAATACTCCTTGTGTCACTGGACAGTACCACATATTCTGGTATAGGAGAGCTTAGGTTTTGTGATTTAAAAACAAAGAGTCATGCAAGTTGGAGCCAGTGCCTTTGCTGAGAAGGACCTGGCACCCACTTCCCCAGGCTCAGTTTGCCTTCACTTGTAACCCACTCCTACCCCAGGCCGGCAGGCAGGGTTCAGCGTGGACAGGAGGCCACTCTCCCCCTAAACGTAAATACCTTTTTTTTATTTTTACTGACTTCAAAAGTAATTTGTGCTCACCATTTTTTTTTTTTAAAAGCCCTTCTAAAGATGCAAAAGATATAAAGAAAGTGAAAAACCACTCATAACTAGAGTGAACATATAATTCACCACCCAAAGCAGGAAGCTCTTGAAAGCAAAGGGAGGAAGGTATTAATTATTTCACTGGGACAAGCTGCAAACTAGGGCTATGCTGGGTAAACCGGATGTATGGTCATCCTGCCTATTACTCAGATATCTGCAAATGTGTCATACATGGCTTCCTACATATGTGCACACAGAGAAATACAACTATGAGACCGTGCGCTACTTATCTCAGACATCTTCTGCATCAGTAATTATAAATCTACTGCATCACTTTCAAGGACTATGGCACAGGATGGTCACACGGTTGGGGTTTTTGGGTTGTTTTGGTTTCTGACTCTACAATGCCACAATAAGCATTCTTCCTACTGCAGGGCATTTGTGACTGATTAATTTCTAGAACAGGTTTCTAGACGTGGCATTGCTGGATCAAAGGTAAGGAGTGTTTGCATCTGGCCCATATTGCCAGCTGCTCGGGTGGCCTTTTCACAATCTCATTCCTAACAAGTACGTGCCGGTTCATAAAGTTCTACCTTGCTATCTTTAGTGAAATCATTTAAACCCAGACTAAGCTTTCAGTTACTTAAAACTCCACAGTATTCTTCTTTCTTCCAAGTTGACACCCTAATCCTGCTGCTCTCATCCAGTTTTAACTTGGAAAGCTTATAAATCCCTTTTTTCCATCACTTAGGGGGTCCTCAGATCATTAGGAGGAAGGGCCTCATCACCCACACAGGACTGTCTTCTCTTTTAAATAAGGCTCCATGGTAACCTGGCCTCTACCTAAAAGGCCAAAGGGGTGGTTCTGATTTAATCTCATTTCTTATTCTGAGCTACAAGATGGACTGTGGGCATTTGTTTGGAGTCATTACATCGTACATGTTGAAACCAGCCAAGTAACTGACAAAGCCCTTTGTGCAGTTAGAAACAGAGTTCCTGTCACGCAAGGTGGTATGGCCATGCCAGCGGGTACAGAGGGGATTCCAGGTTTGGCTCACCTCAGCATACAAACCATACAATCACCTGGCCTAAACTTCACTATACAGCCTCCAGATGCCAGAGTGTTTCCATCAGTTCCCCCTCATAAAATGCATAATGTAAACCAATATATCCAGGTGCCAGGCTTCTAAGAAGCTCAAACACTTGGAAGAGTTGTCACAGACCATGTGATTTACCTTTTGTAGAAGCAAAGCCACCTAAAGACCATCATGTAGTCAATAGTGAAAAGGGAAAGAACAGACTCATTCCTCTCTCTGCTTTCTCCTTTTTCCAGACAGCAATCTGGGGCCATCTGGGGCAGTGGTAAGCCTCCAGCAACCACTACGGGCACAAAGAATGTGAGAACTGGAAGAGAGTTGTGAGACCCTCACTATGCCTCTCATTCTAGCAGCCAGGAGGCCTGCGCCCAAAAAGGCAAGGACACCCGCTAAAGGTCACACCGGGAGCCACTGGCCAATTTGGAGCCTGACTCCTCACCACCCACCCCATGTCTGGTCTCTGAGAAGAGCACTGCCGAGGCAGGTTCAACCACAGGTAGTACCGTGCGATGGCGAGAACTCTAGCAGACGGGTGTGTGAGCAGCTCTGTGGCCCTAGGCCCATTACAATTGAGCCATGTTTCCTTATCCATAGAAAGGGGAAAGTCATAATTAGCAAAAACCTATTACTAAAACTAGTGCTGTGAAATTCAGATAAAGTTTAAATAATGCCTGTAGTAGGCTTCAGAAAACTGCTTTGCATCACCCACTGTCTTAGAGATGAATTACACTTGTGTAACTTCTTCCATTGAGCTGCTAATAAAGTCAGAAGAAAACTGTAAGCTTCATACATATTTGTAAGGCTTGGTCTAAACTCTTGGTTATTCATGACTGCATTGACCAGAACTCAGTAATCACTAGATTAGACTCCGAAAGTCTCCGATCTTGCCAGCAGATGCTAATATACATTTACTTAAAAGAAATAGTTGTTTTACTTGAACACTAATAATCATCAAAGTTAAGATGTAAAATGGAGCTACTCAAACTAGCTGTGATGAAGAACCAATTTTTGTTTTTTTTTTTTAATTTTTTTATTTTTAAAGATTTTTATTTTATTTATTTGAGAGAGTGAGAATGAGAGAGAAAGAGAGCACATGAGAGGGGGGAGGGTCAGAGGGAGAAGCAAACACCCTGCTGAGCAGGGAGCCCGATGTGGGACTCGATCCCGGGACTCCAGGATCGTGACCTGAGCCGAAGGCAGTTGCTTAACCAACTGAGCCACCCAGGCGCCCTTTTGTTTTCTTTTAAAGTGTTCTAATCCACTGCCTGTACTTTTTATAAAACACACTACAAGTGAATTTATAAAGGAACATGAAACAGGAAAAAAAAGACTGATACAACATAAGTCCACATTTTCTTTTTCTTTTAAGGATTACCCTCATCAAATTGCTTGGAAAAGTTTTTAAGTGCTTAGTCTCAAGTTCTCTACTTAGGCCAGTCGCCTGTGGACTGGCACACAATCCGTAGACCGCACTGACAAACAGCAAATACTGCCCACCCACCCGGGCCTCCCAGGATAGCAGGCACACGCAGTGTGCTTCCAGGGATCAGCTAATTTACTGCTCAAAGCAATCACTGTCATCACTCACATCTTACACATGGAGAAAGTGGGGCTCAGGGAGGTTAAGCCATTTGCCTAGAATCACAAGGCAAATCAGGAGGGCTGGGATCTAAACCTGGGACTACCTGTCTGAAGTCTGCACAAAATTCTGTTGTCTCCTGAGAGTGCTCAGAGAAGCTGTGCAATTAGTTTTCACTTTACCATTTAACTCAGAGTATGTCATCATTGTAGGCAACCAAGGTTGCCTGCAACCAAGCCCTGTTTTCCTATCTTCTTCCTGTTTTCTGTGCTTCTGGGCATTTTAATTAATTAAGAGGAATACTAATGGTGGTAAAATTTACATCAATTAAGATATCTGGAAACAGATTGGGGAAAGACATGGTAACTAGGAGAGAAATGGCCACCAAAACTGGACTTTAACATACTTTTTTTATTCCATACTTCTCCCCCCTAATAATCAATGTGAGGTAAGGATGGCTGGATGGATTTCCCATAAAGCTTACCTTGACCAACAGCCGAATGCATTTTCTCCATGTCAAACTTAATTTTTGATCTTCCTGGGGTGCTAAGCATCTTTTCCCAAACTGTGGTTACTTCTTTGAGACAAGGAGTGATTTCTTCATAATCGAGCTTTAGGCGCTTGTTCAGCAAATCATTTTCAGAGGCTAGAAGACATCATTTAAGACCATGTTAGAGAGAATGCTATGGCTGCCTACTCACACAGCACTGCTGAGATGCTGAGCTGTTACAGCCAGCTTACCAGGTCCAAACTAAAGTCACTGTTCCTGCGCCACCCCATTTTCCTTACCTTGGAAAAAACTAAATGCACCTAGGAGGTATCCTTGATTTCTCTTGCCCCTTCATCACCCCCAATGAGTCCTGTTGGCTCTGCTATTACAGTACATCCCATACCTGTCCAGTTCCAGCAATCTCCATAGCTACCCTATTAAACCACAGATATCTCAAGGACAGGAGCAGTGTGTTAAAATTCCTGGTGCCTGGCATGCTTAGAGACCAACAAAATTTATTCATCTGAACCAGAAGAGACCCTCCAAGGACAGTTTCTCCTTGGTTAGAGCCAAACCTCCTTAGGTAGCTTCTACTTAGTCATGTTTCTGCTTCCTGCAGCTCAACAGAAGAAATCTGCCCCTCTCATAGGACGTTGCCCCAAATACATGGAGGTAGTTATTATTTCCCACCAACCTTATTCAGCTTAAACTGCATTAAAAATGTACCTAAGTTACCAAAATGGGGTGGGGGAGGGGAGAGGAATCAATAAAGGAAAAGTTTAACTTGACAATTCTCAGGATTCGATCAGACAATTTCACTCCCATCTAAAACCACTATATCCTATTTCGACAGTGGTAATGCTGTCAGCCCCCAAATCCATTCCACCTCACATCTCAGATCCTGACTACGAGTGTATTAGGACAGCAGGTAGGATGCATAGCTAAGTATAAGCCAATACCTAGGCCTCTGCAGAACTGATCAACTACTGTCTTTTATGATATAATAAGCAAAGACTATGTCCTAAGTACTTTATATTTAGCAACATTTCATCCTAATAACTCTCTGAGGCAGGGTTCTGGGTGAGAAAACCGAGGCACAGAGGCTGAGTGGTTCCTCCACGGTCCTGAGCAGGAGGTGGAGGGGCCTGGGGCCCTTGCCCTTCTCCACTGCTCGGCAGAGCTTGCTGTTCTTAATTATACAGTTTTTCTGGGATGAGGCATATATCTATCGGGGGTCTTAAACGTTTGACAGAATCCAGTGGAGCTTTCTGGGCCTAGAGTTTTCCGAGTGAAAGATTTCCAATACGAATGTGATCTCTTTAACAGATACAGGGCCATTCAGATCTTTTTCTTCTCATTTCAGTTTTGGTAAGTTGCACTCTTCACGAAGTTTGTCCATTCCATCTAAGCTGTTACGTTTCTTGGCATAAACTCATTTTTTGTCCTAGAGACACTGATAAGTCAATGCAAACATCTCATGAGTCTGTCCTCCCCCAACCCCCTGAAAATACGTGCACTCTCCCCACCCCCACATTATTCAGGAGGAGAGGAGGCTGCTCATAGTCAGCCCAGGCCCACAGAAGTAGGAGGTGCTGGAGGCAGGATGTGAAGACCCCGGGCTTAACCACTACACTTCTGTGTACACTTCAGTGCCTATTATTTTTAAGATGGGAATTACAGCTACCTTACTGAGTTGCTCTGATGAGGATTAAAGGAGATGAAATATACTAAACATCTACAACATGTCTACTAATCAGCAAGTGCTCACAAATTATCCAAAATATAAAGGCAAATAAGGAAAAACATGAAACACTGCTTTACTAATTAAGTGCTGATAACATGAAATAAAGTATTTTCTTTTTCCATATTAGAAACTGAGCAAAGGCTAACTCCGTTAATCTGGTTAATGCTCCCCTGATTCACTGGATGCAAGGATTATGTACTTAACTGACCCAATTACCACCTTCAGGTACAAATGCACCAAAAGATGGTGCTGAAATAGCTGCAGAGCTCCCTAGCTCCCTCGTCCAGCTCTCATTTCATAGACACAGACACTGAAGTTCACAGAAGGTACAGGGCTTGCCCAAAGTTATTCACCAGCTGGTGGGTAGTCAAGCGACTCTGGGCCTGGGGCTGCCTCACCTATGATTCTTCATCTACCACTTTATTCTCTTCCTTCTTACTTTGGATAATACGTTTTTCTAAGGTCCCACTAAACAACCCTGTGACAAATCGGGTTCAGGACTAGCTTTGCTGGGGACAGAGATTGCAGGTAGCACTGGGCTCTCGGTGCCAATGGACGTTTCTCTGGCAGTGAACTCTGCTGTGAGCCTTTGGGACTGACTGAAGAGCCCAGCAAGCAACATGAGGAACCCGCTCTGAGGTCAACAGAGCGATACCATCCAGCCAGAAGATTCAGTTGAAAAGGCTTAGTCCATGTATGTCACTGTTGGCCCAAGCACCATCCTGCTGTGTGAGTATCCCAACACTGCTGCCTAAAATCCGTAGCCTCCAAAATGTCTTATCAGGCAAGGCAGTTGGTGCATTCTTGTGACAAACGTCAAGGCTCCCAGGCAAGGCCGTTAGATATAAGACCAAACCGTTTAAATTATTAAATAAGAGTCTACAAACCCATGATTGTGCTTTCTGGGGCTAGGGCAACCAGGACTGCATGAGATCAAAGGTAACTCTGCAAAAAAGTCCTCTAAAATACATATTACCATTTACCATGGATGTATGAGTGAACTTGGACTTTGAACTAATAATCTTCAGGTCCGATTTATGCCCATTACACAGGGTAGGATGGAGCTGCCCATCCCCAATCCCGCACTATTAGCAACTGCCTTCACAGATAAAATGTTCTTCCAACTGCCACCATTTCTTAAAAACTTAGCAGGGAAAGGCTAAAAGGCTGGAAGCATCAATGATTAAATGACCTCCAAACCTGTACAGATTTTAGAAAAATTACACTCAATCTTTATTTTTTTATAGCCAATAGGAAAAAAACCTTTAAAAAAATACCTTCAGTTACGATTCCATTAAAATTCAAAATTCAAATGTGTCGTTGTACCACTATGCAGATATAGTGTCTTTATTTATTTTTTTTTAAGATTTTATGTATTTATTTGACAGAGAAAGAGAGCACAAGTAGGCAGAGAGGCAGGCAGGGGGAGAGGGAGAAGCAGAGCCCGACGCGGGGCTCGATCCCAGGACCCCGGGATCATGACCTGAGCCGAAGGCAGACGCTTAACTGACTGAGCCACCCAGGTGCCCCCAGATATAGTGTCTTTAATATGAACTTTAATATGAAGTATGAAATTCTGAATGATATGAGTCAGTTCAACAAGAAATACTGTGCTAACCCCAAACCATGGCTGTATTGAACCATACCCTGTCCTGCATTAGGCTGCCTGCATCTTCATTTATAATAGGGGGAAAATGGTCCTGCAGAGGGGCACGGCGGAGACTGTTGGCTGGGGAGACAGGAAATGCATTTTAGACCCAGCACCACAAGAAGTTAGCTGTTTAACTCTGGGGAAATCAGAATTCAGCTTCCAACTGCCTACAATGGAGTGAAGTGGATTTAGATGATGTGGTTTGGTTCTTTCTCAGATGCAGTCGTTCTGGAATAGTAACAGATACTTAACCCACATATTCAAAAGCCAGGAAATAGACTTAAGCATAGAAGAACCTCCTCATACATGTCCTTCTAATTTCTTTCCCAAACAGCAAGCAATTCAGCTTTAACACCTGATCAATTTCAACCACTCCCATATATAATTTAACTTTCCTTTAAAAAGCAACTAAAAGTGGCACCTGGGTGGCACAGTCAGTTAAAGGTTCGACTCTTGGTATCGGCTCAGTTTGTGATCTCAGGATCCTGAGACTGAGCCCCTCCACACTCAATACAGAGTTTGCTTGAGATTCTCCCTCTCCCTGCCCCTCCTGCTTGTGTGCTCTCTCCCTAAAATTAAATAAATTGGGGCGCCTGGATCAGTTAAGCATCTGCCTTTGGCTCAGGTCATGATCTCAGGGTCCTGGGATGGAGCCCGTGTCAGGCTCCCTGCTCAGTGAGGAGTTTGCTTCTCCCGTTCCCTCTGCCCTTCCCCCCACCCACGCTCATGCTCTCTCTCTCAAATAAATAAAATACAACCTTAAAAAAAAAAAATCTTTAAGAAAATAAAAAAAACCAATGCAACAGAATGACTGTCTCTCTAGTACACAGTACATTCCCGGTTGGTTCTTGTCAAATCTTGCTTCTGTATTTATTTAAAGATTTATTTATGTGAGAGAGAGAGAGTGAGCACGGGGGGGGGGGGGGGGGGGAGGCAGAGGGAGAAAAGAGAGAGTTCCAAGCAGACTCCACGTCAAGTGTGGAGCCAGAAGTGGGGCTCAATCCCACAACCCTGAGATCAACGACCTGAGCCAAAACCAAGAGTCAGATGCTCAGCTGACTGAGCCACCCAAGTGCCCCTTGTTTCTGTATTTAATGAGAAAGTTCTGTGCCCATCCCACACCAACAAAGCTTACCAAATGTTTTTTAGGCAATTCATGGTCAGGTTCTTATTGATGATTAAGCTTCTCAGCAATATAGGTACTGTAATGCACTGAAACCATGCTTTCTAAATTATATTAAAGAAGCTTATTATGCTTTCACCACAAAGGTAAATGCATGTTGAACTTTAGAGAGCTAAGAAGAGAAATTAACTCAAACAGCAAGAACTGAAGACCAGCCAGGACTGACCACTGCCAGATGAAATGAGGAAGCAGCAGAACGGTGCTGGCAAGGGCTAGTGAACGCAATGCAACACCTGGCAAGGTGTTCCAGGGAGCCTGACGGAACTCTTCCGCGCTCATTCTTCTCTGTCTGGTCATCATTTACACAGCTTTACAAAAGCTCCGCTTCTGTGGCATACTGATCTTGCCGCGTCGATGCAGTCACGATGCCTCCTAACATCCCAAGAAGCCAGCCAGCACCATTCCCATGTTACAGCTACGCCCTGATTTTCCATGGCTGTCATTTCCAGGATGACTGGCCAGGATAAGTATTAGGACTTACGACCTACACGACGAACGTAACTGCCTCTCCGCTTTTCAACAAAAATCCCAACCAATAGACACGAGTATGAGTGCTGTGCTCCAGAGCCGTCATTTAGCTCATGCTCATTTAGCACTTGGTGATGTCATCACGGTCAAATCTCTTTCCAACATCTGCTTTTATTTGTCTTTTAAAGATTTATTTAGACATCTGCTTTTAGAATGGCCTTCAAGAACACACAAGAAAACAGCAAGAAAACAGAGCTGGAAGAAAACTTAGCATTCAGTGCTGTAAAATCCCCTTGCGCGGCACCCCTCCCACAGCACCATCCGGGGATGACCGGTCTGCCTCAATACCGGGGACAGGGCGGGGGGTGGGGGTGGGGGTGGAGCCCACAGTATCCGTCAGTGGCCCATTCCAGCCACCAAGCTACTTTCATAACAAAAGGTCTTATTACTTTGTATCTGACTTCTTGTTTTTGATCAAAGATGACACACTTCTTTGGACTATGAACCTTATTCATCAGATTCGGTGTCTTAATAACCTTCACCTCTATACAGATCTTGAGATAAAAGATGAAGATCTGCAGTCAAGAAGTAAGTTCAATGAAAGGTACTCTACTTCTACAACTGCCCTGGGCCATGGCAGCACGACTCAACTGCCTTCCTCTGGAAGTTATGTCTGACTTCCTGATCAAAATGCCCATGATTTCCCATCCAGCCAGCACTCTATACTCCTAGACCCATGTTCTTTCCATCAGACCGCCCACTTAGCTTCTGAGCTACTAGGAAAATAATATTTTTTGGGTCAAGCAACAGTACAGAAACAGGAAATGAACAAAATCTAAACTTGCAAAGTTCATGTCTTATTTTGATACTGATATAACCCCTGGCAAGAACTTGACTGGTCTGAGCCTCAGTTTCCTCTTAAGGCTAATATATGCCTTCCAGAGCTGTCAGCATTAAACGAGTCTGTCTATATAAAACCTTGGTATCAGTTCAGGTAGAACTCTGCTAACGCTAAAGCTTAGTCCTCTTCAGATCACCTGCAACCCACCAAAAATGCACATAGAGTGAGGTTATGAACTTAAGTGATTTGTGTAGGATTAGTTTATACCTACCAGCCAAGCACAGACTGTGGCTGAGGGCAAAGTAGGGAGAGGGAGAGAAAACAAAACAAAAAACACTCTTCAGAGGGTTGAAGCTTACATTTGAAGGTTGTCTCTTGGAAGTTCTACATGTTATGCTAAAAATGACCATATAGGAATAATTTAATATAGTTGGTGAGATTGTCATGAACTCTCCAGAAAGTCAAAAGCATTAACTCGACTTTGAAAAAATAAACATATTTCATATATACACATATGTACGTATGCTAGAGGATCTTGTTTTTCTTTTTAAAGACAGCATACTTATGTCTGATGTGATTCACTTCAGAGCCAAGATAAATTATCAGGCCTGTCATTCTAAAAAAATGGCAAACCAACCTTGCAGCTTCTGATTTTCCTTCTCCATTCTGAGGAGCAGTATCTGTTGTAAAATAGCCTTTTGCCATAACTCTCGAAGCTCGCGAGATGTCCTTTTCTTCTCCTCTGGGACGGGGCCGAAGGGTCCATCTTCACAAACTGGTTCTAAAGGAGATCGTGGTGGAAGCTCTCCCAGTTCTGAGTAATCTGGGGATGGAAAAGGACATTTCAGAATGGTCATTTTTTTTTTTTAATACAGATTTAAACGTAGTGTCAAATCAGAAAATTTCTGTTCATTCAGATTTTATGAAATGGTGTCACCGATTTAAAATTCAAGTTTTAATATGCATTGAAATAAGTTAGGTCTGAGCCACAACCATCAAATTATACATCAGATAGCAAGCAAAAGTTGGAGGAGCTGAGGAAATGTTCAAAGATACCTACTTTTAATGACTGTATTATTGGTAATGGCAAACATTCACAGAGTGCTCACTCTGAACCGATTGTTCTGAGGGCTTTATGGATACTAGTTTATTTAACACTCAACCACCCTGAGATGTAGCTACTATAACTATTCAGTTTTAAAGAAAAGCAAACTGAAGCACATTTGACACCTGCCAAATGTCACAGAGCTAGGAAGTGTAGAACCAGGATCGGGGACCCAAGCAGACTGGCTTAACCACCACGTTATAAGGCTAGATATTCTGGAAGAAGATTAATGCGTATTTAATAGCCAATAATAACAGTGACCATTAATGGGTCCTCTACCAAGTGCTGGGCACCATGCCAGGTGTTTTATATAGACAGACTCATTTAATCCTGATGACAACTCCAGAAGACAGGCATTAGCCTGAAGAGAAAACTAAGGCTCAGAGAAGCAAAGGAAGTTGCCCAGGGTCAGACAGTGAATAAGCAGGTGTGGTGGGATCCCAACCAATGTCTGCCTGACTTGGAAGTTCATGCTTTCTGCTCAATATCCCTGTAATTCAAATGTTTCCTATGTCATCAAGTTTAAAATTTCCATTTATTAGTTGAAATCTCTTTACATTTCATGAATTTGTACCTTTCTCAACTGCAGACCCCATGTGGCTGGGACACAGTGCTGTTGTAACTCACAAATACCTTACAGACAAGCAGAAAGAACATCCCACCAGCTTACTCTGAAACTAGCTACAAACAGCAAAAGTTCTCATATGGAATATTACTCAGCCATCAGAAAGGATGAATAACTACTGTCTGCATCAACATGGATGGAACTGGAGGGGATTATGCTAAGTGAAATAAGTCAAGCAGAGAAAGACAATTATCACATGGTTTCACTCCTATGTGGAACATAAGGAATAGAGTGGAGGACCACAGGGGAAGGGAGGGAAAACTGAATGGGAAGAATTCAGAGAGGGGGACAAACCATGAGAGACTCTTGACTCCAGGAAACATACTGAGGGTTACAGAAGGGAGGGGGATGGTGGGATGGGGTAACCAGGTGATGGGTATTAAGGAGGGCACATGTTGTGATGAGCACTGGGTGTTATACACAACTAATGAATCGCTGAACATTACATCAAAAACTAATGATGTACTTCTATGTTGGCTAATTGAACATAATTTAAAAAAAAAGTTCTTATATGAGTGGGCCCCATCTGAGGCAATGCATTCCTGGGTATTTCTCTCTAAACTGAACCTAAGTAAAATCACAGTCCTAACATTCTGTGAAAAGCCCTTGACAGACAACCCGAATTTCACAACCACCCAGAACACAACATACAATCTCTTCCAGTGTACAGTTCCAACAAAATTCCATGCTACAATTAATTTCCAAAACAGTTTCAGCATTGACTGCTCATTATCTAAAAGTGGGTTTGATTTCCTGCTATGAAATCTATGAAATCAAACACAAGCTACAAACACAAGCTACAAGTTTCATTTTCTAAAGTGACTTGCCCATCTTAACTCCTATTAAAGTTACTGGATTAAAAAAAATTATGATAAGCATTAAGAATGCTTTGTGATGTCTGTAAGCATTTAAATGCTTATCATCACATTTCTATCTATGTCTATTTCATTATGATCCTATTAAATGAAGGAATAAATTAAAATTCTTCTTTTGGGGGTAGTTTTTATGCACGTTATAGGAGAATGCTCATGTGTAATGGTCAGTATAAAAGCAGGAATCACAATTGTTGTATGGTAGGATCTCAACCTTAAAATTATTATGAAGAGCAGGACCATTCAGTGACTAAAAGGTCAGGCTCTGGAGCCAGGCTGTCTGGGTTTTAATTAAGACTATGCATTTTTTGATTTTGTGACCTTCAGCAAATTGCTTAACCCCTTAATGCCTCAGTTTCCCAATCTGTCAAGCAGGAATAACAGCACCTCCCTCACAGAAGTGTTACAGGGACTGGGGCACGTGGGTGGCTCAGGAGGTTAAGCGTCAACTCTTAATTTCAGGTCAGGTCATGATCTCAGGGTAGAGAGATCTGTGCTCTGTGTGGAGTCTGCTTGTCCCTCTCCCTTCCCCTGCTTGCATGCGCTCTCCCTCTCGCTCTCTAAAATAAATAAAATCTTTTTTTTTTTTTTTAAAGAAGTGTTACAGGGATTGAGTTAATTCATATCTTATAAACTACCTGAAACGGGGTCGAACACACAGTAAGAACACAGTGAGTACTAGCTTCTTATTGGTTGCTATTACATAGTCCTTAACGGCACAGAAAAAAACACTGGAAGGAAACACTTAGAAATTTATCCACTCAGTTGTAAGCTCTAAGAAGGCCAGACAGGCCACCTTGTCAGTGAGGGTTCACCTAGCACCTGGCACAGTGTCTGCACCTAGCAGGTGCTGGGCAGATCCTGCGGAAGGAGAGAGATAGGTGGGTGCTAGGTTTGCATGTGCTTCCTGCTCTTTTTTGTATTTCCTAAATTTGTGACAATAAACGTAATTTTTAGAACCAACTGAAGAAAAGTAATGCAAATCTGTTCCGATTTATATCAAAGATTGCAAAATGTTCTGCAAAACACTTAGAAGACAAACCGATCCCCCCAAACTTGTATACTTAGCACTAGTTGGTACTGAATATGATACAGCTGAAGTTTACCCTTTTTTTCAGAAGGCATTTTAGTTAGTATTCTCATTCAATCTTATTCTGCAGCCTAGAGTCTTCTATCTGAGCTCTTCCCTCTTTTACCATCATGGCTGTTGAAACTCTGCTGGACACTGCAGTGGTGATTCAAGTTCTGCTTCATCTCATGCTGAAGGATTCACAAGGGTCGGCGGGGAGACGGCCTTGCCGTGGGGCAGCCTAGTCATAAAGTAGTTTAGTGACTTACAAAAGACCGATAGTTAACTGTCGGTTTGTTCTAAATCTGGCCTGGCTAAATGAATCCAAGTGGGCTGTTTTCTTATCAATGCAAAAAGACGCAAGTTTGGGCCGAGGGTGGCCCTCTTTCATGGACACATGCCTGGGGTACGGAGTGCCTGGGGTACAGTCTTGTGAGACGTGTACTCAACAGCATGGGGCTGAGTGGAGTGGCAAGGCCAGGGAGAGGATAATATGAAGATGTTGGTCAACTGGCAGCTGAGAACCTTATTCTAATAATAAATGTGTGCATTATTTTAACTTGGATCATTCCTAAGCCATTTACATCAGTATTTATTGCGTCCCTTATATACCTGGGATGTGACATGCTAGGTGGTCTAAGAGAGGCTCCTTTGATGTTTCTAACATTCTTTTGTTTCTAACATTCTTTAGAACAACACTGGGGATCTGGCTTCCTTCCCGGACCAATACTCTTGCTGAGAGGCTGCCACACAGAGACTGATGGGGAGAGCCGGGAGGAACTGGGCTAGGGGTCCCTCCACCCCCAGGCCAGCTTGGCGGTCCCTCTTTGTAAACCTCTGTAGACACGTACACTTTTGGGGTTCCAGTCCCTCGGTGCAAAATGTGAGAAATGATATTCCCCTCTGACTGCCCCAACTGTGGAGCCGACAGGCACTGACAGACAGACATACTTCTACATCTACAAGACCCCGAAACCAAAGGGCCGCAATAACATGCTAGCCTAGGATGAGACTTTACTATCTGGACATGCCCTATAATGACAAGATGAAGCATGCTTAATTACAACAGAGCCTTTCAGAAACCGTCGGTTTCAATGGGTTCTGAGAACTTCAAAGCCAGCCACAAGTCAGGGGTCCTGCGAGACAATCCTTGCTGGGACATTCTTAACAGGGTCATAAATAGGATCTAGGCTGGTGCGTCAATACTTTAGCTGCCAAATATCCTCCTGAGACTATGCTGCTACATTCTTCTCTCGCCCCCCCTCTGCACACAGGTGTGCAGGGAAGAGCATGACTCCGCACCATCGGTAGGAACACGGCCGACGCTGTGACAGGGCAGAGGAAAGGGACACGCGTGCACACAGTCTCCCAGCTGTCCCGTGCTGACTGAAAAGTACGGAATACGGGGCTGCTGGCTGGTACTTTCACGAGACACTGCTATCAGGTTTGAACTGCTATTCTCCTCCTTGTAGAGACCTGACACTGAGTCACACATTAAGTGCCTTGTAAGAGAGGGGCACTCCGGGAGGAACATGAAGAGATAGGCCCTTCTTCAACATTCTGGGTTTTCTGTTATCCCACAGCAGAGCATTTTTATAACTCTCTCCATCTCAAAAATCTTGATCTCCCATGCCAAAAGAGCAATGTTTAAGATTCCTGCTATTCTGAAACCTCTGCTTTAGCAACATGAATAGACTTTGGAAATGAGAATTAAAACTGAACAATAAGCCTCTGGAGAAAAGTTAACAACAGGGATTAACGTCTGCAGCATCTGTTGTTACCAACAACTGAAGACAATTTCTTAAAAACCAGAGTAAAATAACCATGTAGACTTAAGAAAGGAACAGGCAGTCCTCTATGAATGCTGTCAAACTGTTTACAGAGCACGAACAACTTTACCTCTCCTGCGACAGAATGTCGTGCCAGGGAAACAGCAGATACACACGGAACAGTCACCGAACAAAAGGATTCATTTACCCGAAACTGCTCTACAGCTTACCGTGTCTTCTTTGGAAAATAATAACAACAACAACAATAACAAAAGAACCTTGTTATTTTCTACAGTTGCATTATAGAATGGTCCAGCCACAGGGAAACAGAATTTTTTTTTTAAATAACATTTGGTAAAAAGAAATTTTTTTTTTTTTAAGAT